TGGTTTCAGTTTTGTTCGAGTTGGGTTAAGAATTCTTGGGCTTCTTTTTTGCCTTTTAGTTTTTGTTTAGCGAGATTGAGGAGGGCTTGTTCTAGGTCGTTTATTTTAGCTAAATAAAGTTGCTTTTCTTGATGGCTTTGTTCTTTAAGGTTAGTTTGCTGTTCGTGGTGAGCTTGGGCTTGTTGGTTTAGGTTTTCTTCTAATTCTCCATATCTTTCGGCTCATTCGGCTAAATCTCTCTTTAACTCCTCATTTTCCTTTTTGGTGTGAACTTGTAATTGGTAATCAACATCATTTAAGGTTTGCTGGTATTGGAAGTGGAGAGTTTGGTAGTCATTTTTTGGCACATAATCTCTTTTGATAATTTGCCTTAATTGTTTTTCTCGGTAGTTCATTAGGTAATATCCTCCAATTTGCTTACTCCTTTCCGAGCTAAAAGGGTTTGCACTTCTTCTTCGAGTTTGATTTTTTCGTTCACTCAGGGGGCAAATTTAGTTAAGAATTCTTGGCTAGTTTGAAAAGGAGTGTTTCCTCAATTTCAGCGATTAAGAATGGAGTTTAAGTCCTGGCGGACTTTTTGGCTTTTTAAGGCTTCTCTTTGACGGGTGATAATAATCATACATACCTCCTTTAATTTCCTTTCACCAAAGCCCACGAGTTAGTAAAGGGTATCATTCCCCCGACTACTTCCACATGGTAAGCAAACTTTTCCATGCCTCCCCCGAGGGTTTTTTCGTGTTGGATTTCTTCGGGGTTGATAATTCGGTAAAAGACACTTTTTTCGTCGTGAATGGTGGCTAAAACTCCGTTCTCTAATTTCTTGGTAATAACAGCCTTAAAGAGTTTATAAGGGTTAAGATTGCTGTCGCGAGCCACATCGGCTAAAAAGTGGATTTCTAAGTCGTCCAAAAAGTCTGGGTCGATAGTGAGGACTTTGGATTTAGGGGTTTCACAGTTCGTCTCGACTTCGTTTCAATCAGTGTCTCCGGGCTTTTGGTAGCCCTTGTTGTAAGCCGTGGAGACTTCGTCCATGCCGTTGTAGGCCGATTTGATTAGTTTTAAAATGGCAATGGCTTTATCCAGGCTATCGATGGTAGCTTGCTCGGGGGTAATTTCCACTCACGCTTCGTCTTTGTAATTGTCCTTATCCGAGATAATGGAGACGATTTTCTTGTTAAGGGTGGTGATAGCTTTGGTTTTCATGCTGTCGATGAGCCGGTCGATCAGGGCAGTTTGGTGAGCAGGGCTTTGGAGGGCTTGCTTCATTTTTTTCTTATTAAAGACCGTATAAAAGACTTCGTCCATTTGGATACCCAGTTTACAGGAGAAAACAGCTGGCAGTTTTTTAAAGTCTTTGCCTTCTAAGGTTTTGGCTCACTTGATGCCTTCTAAAGGTTGGTCGGAGATGAATTCATCCTCGGAGCCGTAGAATTCCGTAGAGCCTTTGTCAAAGACGGAAAAGTCGTTGTCAGCATAGATTAACTTGACGGGTTGTTCTTGAATTACTCTTTGTTGGAGGTTTTCTAAGATGGGATTGGGATTGTTCATTATCTAGTTCACCCCCTTTCTTCGCTTCACTTTCAACCTTTTTGCTCTTGGAGTTTAAGATATTCGGTTTTAAAGTCGTTTTGCTCTTTGGTGGCTTGCTTTTCTTGCTCGATTCGACGATTACGACGGGCTTCGATTTTTCAGTTATCCCGGTCTTTGGCCAAGCCTTCGTTAGCCTTTTGTATTTCAAAGATTTCATTATCTTTATCAGTAAGTTTGTTTTGGAGGTTTAAGATTTGTTGTTCTTTTTCTTTGACATCTTCTTCGTATTTTTGTTTTATTATTTCCTGTTTTTCAGCAATTTGAGCAGGGGTTAATTTTTGTTCTGGTTCGTTCATATGGTTGTTTTTAGCAATGTTTGGTCTAGGGAATTAACGAGACTTGCTGACAAGTCAAACTCACACGAAAGCATATGTTTTTGGCATGTCATTTTTTATTTTTGTTTGATTTTTAGGGAGAGTTTTTTTTGATTTATTTTTGACATGTCAGGTTAAAATTGCTATATAGATTGAAT